TGTTTCTCTGTGTCATGATAGTTCTCAACTGAGCAGCGGCGGCCGGCCTGAAGGCTGGCGTGCAACAGCGCTCTCGGCTGCATGGCTCCCCGTGTGCCAGGGGCCCTCTCTCCAGGGGCCTACGAGGCAGGAAGTGAGCCAGCCGGAAGACAGGCACTCCCCGCCTGTGGCTCCCCGTGCACCAGGGGCCCTCCCTCCGGGGGCCTAGGAGGCAGAGAGCGAGCCGCCAGTCAGAAGACCGGTGCTCCCAGCCCATGGCTCCCTGTGCGCCGGGGGCCCTCCCTCCGGGGGCCTACAAGGCAGGAAGTGAGCCAGCCGTAACTGGCCATTTTGAACCTGATTGAGTTTCATGCTTTATTTTTTTATATCCTTGGTGGCCAAAACAACCGGCATTTGTTCCTTTGACAGTTCTCTTTAGGGTGGGCAGAACTCCATGGGCTGGCCTTTGACTAGAAACTCTGAGTAATTCTTGACCTGAGAGAGGCAAAGAGCATTCAACCAATTATTAGATACTCCACCACGCAGTGGGTGGAACAGTAGTTTGGAATTATCTGTCAGGATTACAAATGCACATTTCCTCCTGTCTGGAGATATACACACTTGTGTCTGGAATGAAAATGCACAGGTTGTTCAAGGCTACATCCTTAGGTATCACACGAAACGCAAAACCACCTAAATGTTCAACAACAAAAGAGTCAAATAGCCATTAAAACTATGCAAGAAAAGGCCATGCTGGCATAAGAAGGAATAACAATGCTTTCTGTGCTGTCTGGAAATATTTCCAAGATATATTGTTCAGTGAGAAAGAGAAAGACAGCAAGATTTAGAAAGTGCACGCAATATGCTACGTTTTATGTTAAAAAGTGGGAGAAAGTCTACATTCATTTTTGCTTGTATAGGCATGAAGAAATCTGAAAGGGTGCTTAGGGGTAATGGGAAACTGGTGAGAGGACAAGGGTAGGAGACTTTTCACCAAGTGCATTTGCAGTCACCCAGTTACGACATGCATGTGTGTGTGTGTTACATGCTCCACAGTTGCTCTTGTCCAGGGGAGCAGGCCTGTGGTCAGCCTCTTCTTTCTGAGGTCCTTCAGCTAGAGGGGCTGTGAAAGCATTACCCCAGCTGACATCATCTCTTCCTGGCACCAGGCAAGCCCTGCACTCATCTGGCAGATGGGGCAGAGCCAAGGAGAGTAAAAGAGAGGGCATGAGTTTTAGACCCCAAGGGTGGAGCATCCTTGCAGTTCCACCCTTTGTCAAGAGAGGGAGCACTGCTCAGTACCTGGTCCAGGGGTATTTGCCAGTTGCTCCAGTAAACCCATTGGGTTTTTCTTCTTGCTGTGACTTTACTTTCTGATCAAATGAACCCTGAGAGTTCTTCACATTAGCTTGGTTTCTGGTTGTTTTTAGTTCTGGGGATTGAACCCAGTGCGTCTGCACTGAACTACATCCTCAGCCCACTTTTTATTTTTTATTTTGAAACAGGGTCTTGTTAAGTTGCTATGTTTCCCAGGCCGGGCTCAAACTTGTGGCCCTCCTGCCTCAGCCTCCCAGAGTGCTGGGATTACAGGCCTGTGCCACCACACTTAGCTTTTTTTTTTTAAGCTAATTTCCTAGACAAGCTTGAGATAACCAGTGTAGACTCACACTCCTGCCAAAGCAGGGACTGGCTGTTTTGCTAGGCTGTGTGTGGGGGGGGGGTGGCGGGCATTATGGGTATGTACATGATTTCTGTACCCCAGAGTGGCGGTGGTCAGCTGGCGGCCATGTTGTCCCCACGACTCACTCCTTGGCTGACACCACAAGGTGGGATCTTTGGGGAACCTGATATCTGAGTCCTTGGGATTCTTCAAGTGACTCATTGAGACCCGGTACTTTTCCTCCCACAGTGGGATCAGGGGTTTTAAGCACCAGGTAAGCTAAAGCCGTCTCGGGCAGCACTTTCTGGCGAGGCAGTCACAGCCACTACCTCTGCTGGTTTTCTGTCCTCTGCAGAGCATTCTCCTACCTGTCCCACACCATCCCCGACTTCACAGACAACTGCCTGATCAACATCATGAGGTGCGGGGAAGACTTCTATGCGACCACAGAGACCAATTACGTGAGGAGGATCGACCCTCGGACACTGGAGACCCTGGAGAAGGTATCGCGCCATGGTCAGCATCCATTCCTGATGCTGAGGGGCTCCGGGGAGGGCTGTCCCCAGTGCTATCACCCTGGGCTACCCCAATAGCACAGGGTCCTCAATGCTAAGCTCTGGGCAGGGGCTGCATCATTCCCATCCTGCGGCTGTCCTGGTGTCCTGCGGCTGTCCTGGTTTCCTGTGGCTGTTGAGACCACGTGCAGCCATGTGCCATGTAACCGTTGTCCCTCAACACCGAAACCCATCACCCACGGTCGCTCAGGTACTGCCCAGGGACACAAGCGCTGTCTCAGTCTGTGCAAGTGTGTTCCAGGAGGCTCATGCCACAGTGGTATCTCCCAGTGTCCCCATCGCTAAGGGATGCGTGACTGCTACACACTAGGTGGCCTAACATGGTTGTTCTCTCAAGTCAGGTGTGGTGGTGCACATCCGTAATCTCAGCACTCTGGGAGGCAGAGGCAGGAGGATCTCAAGTTTGACCCCAGGCTGAGCAAATTCCCAAGATTGTCTCAAAATAAAAAATAAAACAGGACTGAGAGTAGCTCAGTGCAAAGGCTCTTGGTTTCAACTTCTGGTGTTGGAAAAAGAGAAATTTATTTTCTTTAGAAACCGGAAGTCTAAAATCCAGGTGTTTTCAGGGCCAGACTTTTTTGGAGGACCTGGGGAGACTCTCTCCTGTGTCTTTAAGCTCCTAGTGGTGACCAGCAACCCTTACTGTTCCCCATCTGGTAACGCATCGCTCCAGCATCTGCCTCCGTTAGCACGTGGTGTTCTCCTTGTGAGTCCTTGCATTCAAATTTCCCGCCTTTCATAAACATACAAGTCACTGGATTGGGGCCACCGCAGTGCGCTGTGACCTCATCTCTCCTTACATCCACAAACACCCTGCTGCCAAGTACGTTCACACTCACAAGTGCCTGGGGTTAGGGCTTCACCATGTCTTTTCAGAAGGTACAGTTCAACTCATAACTGTGTGTACAGTGCTTAGTACAGAGGGAGCTCAGGAGGGTTGGATCCTAGCAGCCCTACCCACCTCCATCAGCAGAGGGAGACCTGAGGCAGAGAGCAAGGGCAAAATATGTGTCCTAGCAGGTGCCTTCCCTGGGCAGAATCAAGCCAACTCTTTTGTGGAAATCAGTAGATTTGGCTTCAATTTCCTCCAACCGGCTGCCCGGAGCCCCAGCCCTTCACAAGGCATTTTAATGATCTGTGAAAGATCTGTTTTCCTTAGCTGAGAAATTTTGTCCAGCTCCCTCTCAGCTAGACGGCATGGGTCCAAGTGGTGTGTGCTTTCCACAGGAGAGGAAGAGGCACCGGAGGGCACAGAGCCAGACCTGACTCCTGGCTGGAAGTTGTGCTGTCTCAGGGGTGGGCAAAGAGTGGACAGCTGGCCTCTGCTCACCCGGTTACTCAGCTTGTGAGTGGAGATTCACTTTGACTAAATGGTTTGGTCCTCTATTCCCGGAGCAGCACTTCGGGACAGGCCTGGAACGCTGTGCCTCTGTGGAGTGCAAAAGGGGCAGCTTGAAATAACTCACCCAAGCAGCGGCCAGGGTTAGCTGGAAGGCTGTGAGCTCTCTGTCCATGTCAGTGCTGGGAGTCTTCAGTGGTGAGGACCCCAGCAGGGCGAGGCTGCAGAATGGGAGTCAAAGCCACCAAAAACCACAGCTTACTCCCTCTCCTGAGACCCAGTGCCTCAGGAGCCCCTCCAGACACAAGGCTGAAGCAGGTGAGAGCGAACGTCCTCTCTAAATGCAAACTCTTATTTTCCAATCAGGAGATGTGCAGGAGTACTCATCCTCTCTCTAGACTTCCGATCAGTTGGGTCTTCGTGGGACTTCGCCTCTCCTCTTTATAAAGCCAGGTGACTGCCATATTTTGCAGGTGGATTACCGGAAGTATGTGGCGATAAATCTGGCAACAGCACATCCTCATTATGATGGGGCTGGAAATGTTCTCAACATGGGCACATCCATTGTGGACAAGGGGAGGACAAGATACGTGATATTTAAAATCCCCGCCGCAGTGCCAGGTACGTCATCCTTGAGAGTCCAGGGAAGCAGACACCCAAAGCGGCTCTTGCTGAAGAGTTCTGTTTGTGCTGATGACACAGCATTCATTATACTTTCCTCCATCAATAGATCACTCATTCAGATGGCCAGAGACTCAGCTTTTTCTTTAGGAGAAAGAGAAGTTTCTGGGATTCTTTTTGGATGAAGAGGGGCTCTTCATTATTTTAACCTCCTTTACTTTAAGATCCACATCAGTAATTTATTATTTACCCACCTATCCATCCACCCATATATCTACCCATCCACCTACTCACCCACCATCCATTCACCCATCCACTTACCCATCCATCCATCCATCCATCCATCCACCCACCTATCCATCCATCCACTCACCCATCTACCATCCATCTGTCTGCCACCCATCCATCTACCTATTCATCCACATGTCCATTTCTAACCTTTTTTCTAGGCTCCAGTTCATTATTTCATTAATTTTTCTACTGTCCATCCATTTTTCAAGTCTTCTGCAAACATTTGCATGCCAGCACTCTGCTACCCACTCTCCCCTGAGCCCTGCAGCCAGGCTCCTGGGGTTGTTTATGGGGTTCAGCCCTGCTGGGCTCTGCTCCAGATCCCCACCCTGTTCTTCAGGCCTTCTGGATCTTCTCCACATAGGGCTGGATTCTGGAGCTAAGCCCAGGCTGAGTGATTGCGTGTTCCTGAGGGGGATGAGGGAGAGGCTCCCGGCCCATGTTTGTCCAGGACCCTGCTGGGAACCACACCCAGGAGACCGGGCCTCCGAGGGCAGCAGCACAGCACTCAGAGGTGCCTCGCTTGACCTTCTGGCTTAGAAAAACCAGTTTCCGTCGGTGATCCTGTTGGTTGCTGCACCCCGTGGTCCTGTAGAAACTTCTGAGCAGATTTCCAGGCTGTGCTGGGAGCCACAGTCCCCGAGGTCAGAAGAAACCTGACAGAAGTGTTCTTATTAAATGAAACTACCATGAATTAGGCCAATCATGCAGATAACATCGAGCCCAGAATCCTAGAACATCAGATGGGGGCTCTTCTAGGCATCTGTGTTTGTCACCTCCTATTACAGAAGAGGGCTGAGGCTCAGGGGATCAGGTGACATGCTGGCGGTCACACGGCTTAAGGGTCTTCTAAGGTCGCACAAGCAGCCGCTCTCTAAGTCCTGCTCGGAGCTGGGGCTCCCGGGCTTCATTGCCCGTCCGTGCCTCCCAGGCCAGGGTGCTGTTCACCTCCCTCCGCAGTGTGCTCCACCTGATGTGTGAAGAAAGAACCAGCCCACAACCACGCAACATCCCTCCCACCCGCCGGCTGCCTACACCGGGCACAGGTGGCACAGAGGTGGGGACGCTTGCAGGGAACTCATTAAGAACCTGCCGCAGGCCTGGGCAGGGAGGCCTTTGGCCAGGGCTGACTCATCCTTGCAGAGGAATGGGAAAGTCATCCATGCGGGGATCGTCCCGGTGCCAGGCACCACCTGGGGTGCTTAGAGTACTGTCAGGGCACAGGGGCCAGGCCTTTACACCCCCCCAGTGCGGTGCGTCATCCTCTTCACCTGTACTCTCTGAGAATTACGCCGCTTAGTAACAGCAGGAACCCACCCGAGACTGAGGGTCGGCATCTTCTTGGTTTAACCCTGGACTTCGACCATGGCGAGAGACCTTCCACCAAGTCTCAATTTCCATCTGTAAAAGGGGCATCCTGCAGCCTAGCTTGATTGCCCCAGAATCCAAGGGGTGCTCAAAATACATGGTGAAAATTTAAATTTTAAAATTTACTCTAGTAAAAGATACTTTGCCAGGAATCTCCCTCAAAATCCCCCTCCCAGTTGGAACGCGCTTCTCCCGGCATTCCTTTCTGAAGCAGCTCTGGAAGTGCTCTTTCGTGAGCTTCTTAACAAAGTGTACCAAAAATACGGCAAACACTGCTGCCAAGAGTCATCCAAAAGAAGGGCAGGCTCGCGAAAACATGGCAGGCTGTCCTCTGCTCTGATCACTGGATTGGCACCGCCTGACCTCTGGCTCTTCCTCAAAAGTCAGAGTGGCCATGAAAGGTAAATGTTTTGAGTGGATTCAGGACATTAAGGCAGCCATGACAGTGCTACTGAGACACTCATGAGAGAGGACTTCCAGAAGTGCTTCAGCATATTGGGAGTTTGATGGGATAAGTGTGTCTGAAGTACATGTGTGTGTGTGGGGGGTGTATTTTGAGGGAGATTAATGGCAAAGTGTCTTTCTTTTTTCATTTTTGGTACCAGGAATCGAACTCACAACCTCGTGCTTGCCAGGCAGTCACTGTACTGTTGAGCTACAATCCTGGCCCTTATGTGTCATTTACTGTAACAAATTTTTTTAAAAAAAGTCACATTCACTGTATTTTTCAATTGTACAGCAAATGTGGGAGCCCCTTGTCGCAGTAGATAGTCCCTTCCTTGATGTTTTGTAACAGGCAGTGCCAAGAATTTTCGTGGGAAACCTGTGAGCTGCATGCTGATTGGTAGTTCCCAGAGAAGTACCAGGGCGGAAGCCTGGGAAGCCCACCCATCCCCGTGGAGCGCCGCAGAGACTCAGACGTGTGGGCCTCACTCCCCCACACTGAGCTCAACTCCACATTTTATCATGATCCCATAGGGCTGGGGATATAGCTCAGGGGCACAAGCACCGGCCTGGCAAGCACAAGGTCCTGAGTTTGATTCCCGGTACCAAAGGAAAAAAATAAAAATTAAAAAAACCTATTTGTCTTGATCCCAGTGACTCCTCCACACAGTAAAATTTGCAAAGCGCTGGTCTGGAGCAGGGGCTGGCGCACATTTTCTCTAAAAGGGCCAGATGGTGAGTATTTACGGCTTTGAGGACCATACGGCTATCTCAAAGCCTCACCCGCTGCAGACAAGAGCAAAAAGCAGCCATAGCGGATACACAAAGGAACGAGAGGAGGCCTTGTTCCAGACAAGAGTGTATCTGCAGAGACAGGAGGGCCCCATTTCACCCCGGGCTGCTAATGGGGACCCCTGGCCTACGGCGGTGGTTTCCGCACTGGGGAACTCGGCTAACCGCGGGCAACCTGAGCAGGAAGCTCTGGGCCCCGTGTCTGGCCTGCTTGCTCCTTCTCAAAGGCCCTTCTTAGCAACACAGTGGGTCTCAAGGCGATGACAGTGGCCTTGGGGCCTCCAGTTCCTGTGTGACTCTGAGTCTGTCCTTCCCCCAGAGGCCAAGAGCAAGGGGAAGAGCCCCCTGAAGCACGCGGAGGTGTTCTGCTCCATCCCCGCCCGCTCGCTCCTCTCCCCCAGCTACTATCACAGCTTCGGGGTCACCGAGAACTACGTGGTGTTTCTGGAGCAGCCGTTCAGGTTGGACATTCTCAAGATGGCGACCGCGTACATGCGGGGAGTGAGCTGGGCGTCTTGCCTGGCTTTCCACGGGGAGGATAAGGTGAGGCTGCCTGGGATGCCGACCCGCCACAGGAGCAGCTGGAGAGGGAGAGTCGCTTAGGGAAGGAAGCTGCACGGGAGGAAAGAGTGCGAGGTGGCACAGTCTCTCCGGAGGCAGCTGCCAACCTGCCAGAGAGTTCTGAAGCTCTGGTTGTCCTTTGAAGAGCTCCCAAGTTAAGGCAAGGGCCTGGCCTTTAGATCCGCACTTCACTAAGTCATTGGATACAGACTGTACTGGGAACAGGGTGTGACCTTGGGCAGCCAAGTCCTCTAAACAGTCCCCACAGGCCCAGCAGCAAAGGGAACAAGTCTTCATCCTGAGGGATACCTGGGTCCCTCACAGCCTACACCACCCACTGACATCTCTGCCACAGCAGCGTGACATGGGAGGCACTGGGTGCCGGAGGAGGACACAGTGATAGACAGTTCCATAGGACGGTTCAGTAGGAACAGGTCTTTTGATTCAGGCACCCCCAAGTGTTTAAAGTGTACGTGTGTATGTGTATATATGTATATATGTGCGTGTATGTAGGAATGTATACAGGTATACAAGGTACAATTGAAAATTACTTTGCTTCAAAATTTTAAAAATTGTATTACAAAAAGACACATTACCACTAACCTCCCAAATACTCCCCTCAATTCAAGCACACTTATCCCATCATTCTTGCCTCTCCGAAGCAGTTCTGCAAGTTCTCTTCTGTGAGTGTCTTTAGTGGTGCTGTCATGGCTGCCTCAGTGTCTGAATCCATTCACAACACTTATCTTTCTTGGTCATTTTGACCGTGAGGAAGATGCAGAAGTCACACAGACCCAGATCCGGTGAATGAGGAAGGTGAGGCCACCCCGTCATGTTTTGACGAAGCCGGCTTCCCATTGGATGGCCCTCAGCAATGGCATTCTCCGTATTCTTGGTCACAGCTTATAAAGACACTCACAAAAGAGAACTTCCAGAACTGCTTCAGAAAGTGACATGGATGGTGGGATACGTACACACAAAGGGAGGGGTGACGGGGAGTATTCTGAGGGGGATTAATGGCAATTTGTCTTACTGTGATAAATTGTGAAAATTTAAACATTTGTTATACATTCTGACCACAGCATATATGGACTCGTTGTTTATTTGCTGCTGTTACCTTATTTTTGGAAAACAGCAAGAAATTCTCAGTGGTACCCGTTCCAATAGTACCCAAGTACAGAAAGCGCATATAAAGTCCCCTGGCCACTTCCCTGTCCCACCCTGGAGGAAGGTGCCGCTGCCCCAGGGCAACTGTCCAAGCCCTTCCTGAGCACCAGAAGACGCTGGCCACCTTCATGAAGGCTGTTCTGTCCCCTCTCAGGGAATGAAGGTGTTTGTTAAGGTCCGTCCGTGCTCAGAACCTTCCCATCTTCCTTTGAGTAAGATCTGAAGGCCGCACTCACTACCTGCTAAAGCTGCACTCACTACCACACTCACCCTCATCCTGACCACCCTTACCCTGCTTATCCCACACATCCTCCTGGAGTGAACCAGCCGGACGTGTCCCTGCCTCAGGGCCTTTGTACTGTCTGCCCTCTGGAATAGGTTGGTTTCCTTTCTCCTTTGATCTCGGCTTCCCTGGCCTTCTTCACTGTGCCTGTGTAAAACAGGACCCCCCCACACACACACACCGCACCCTGCTTTTCTTTTCTCAGGAGCCCCCAGCTCCCCAACGTGTTGTAGATGCGATGTTTATGGTGGGCTTCCCCCCAGGAGCGCCTATGTGAAGGAAGCAGGCATTGGCAGGGGCCCAGGCTTGGCATCACTGTCTCCGCGCCCCCTTGTGCAGCAGGCCCTTTCTGAGTGTGTGTAGCAAGACGGAGCGGGACGAGAAGCCAGCTGGCGTGGACTGTGTCCTGCGTCATCGCCCTGGATGACCTTGGGGGCTCCCTCTGGCAGAAGCTTGCGGGCCCCCCAGGCCTCTCCTCTGTGCCCCTCGAGAGACCCTCAGAGAGTCCCCAAGGGAGACCAGAAAGAGTGGACGGGGCAGGATGACAGTCCCCAAGAAGGCTCCAGAGCACATCTGGAAGAGAACTCTGTCCAAGCCCCGGTGGCTGGCCCAGGAATAGGGATTACGGGAAGAAAAACCCCATCACTGCCGCCTCCCTGCCTGCACCAGCCACGCTCTCAAGGCCCCTCCTCTGGGACCTCCCAACACCACAGCTTGGTTTTAGGAAGCAGAGGCCACTGGACCGGAGGAGCAGGCTCCCTCCCTCCCTCGAGGAGGCGGCTGGGCGTGAGCTACCAGGAGCAGGCGCAGGCCCCTAGGATGGGCAACCAGAGTGCAGATACGGCTCACTGCCACCCAGAGTGACGCTGCCCGGTGACACCTGGAGGCACACAGCTGGAGACCTCATGAGCTGACATGCCACCTGGCTACAGCCGGGGTCACCCACGGCTGCTGCCCAGGACAGGGGTGTCCTGTGACAAGAGCAGGAGGCCAGCTCCACCGTACAGTGGGGGTGGGGAGGGGGCCCAGAGGGCAGGGGCTTTAGGGGCTCTGATCTTCAGTGGAGTCTGGCATGTGGCAGGCTCTCCCCACCTTGGTCACTGGCAGAAGGTGGCATGTCACTGCCCACCTAAGTCACAATCAGTGGGACAAGGGGAAGAGGGCCCTCTTGAGCCCCCCAAGGTCCTGGCAGCAAAAGTTCCCCCCAGGTGTCCTTCTCTGTTTTGTCTGTATGCTTTGGTTTTTGAGACAGGGTCTCAGCATGTAGTTCAGGCTGGCCTTGAACTCGCTGTGTAGTCCAGGCTGGCCTCAGACTCACAGGGATCATCCTGCCTCAGCCTCCTGAGTGCTGGGATTACAGATGTGTGCTACCACAGCCGGCTCTCTCCATGCACTTCAAAGATAAGATCACAGCAACAAACCAAGCACTTTGCCTGTCCTGCCGTTTTGAGGAGACAGAGATACCACATGATCACAAGCTAGTGTCCCCAGGCGCTACCACATAGGACGGCGGGAGAGCTGACCACCCACTGGGCCTCTTTTTTCAGACTCACATTCATATCATCGACCAGAGGACCCGGAAGCCGGTGCCCACCAAGTTCTACACGGATGCCATGGTGGTCTTTCATCACGTCAACGCCTACGAGGAAGACGGCTGCGTTGTGTTCGACGTCATCGCCTATGAGGACAGCAGCCTGTACGACCTCTTCTACCTGGCCAACCTGAACCAGGACTTCGAGGAGAACTCCAGGCTCACGTCGGTGCCAGCCCTCAGGAGGTTTGCCGTGCCGCTCCACGTGGACAAGGTAGGGGCCTCTAAGAGCGGCTAGTTCAGTGCTTGGCCCTGAAATCCAAAATGAACTGGTCTTAAAGGAAGACAAAAAATATCTTTCATTATTTTTCCAAACATGGTCTATTTTTGTGTCGGACTTCAGAAATTATAGGTACACTGAGTCACCCATGGTGGTGCATGCAATCCCAGCACTCAGGAGGCTGAGGCAGGAGAATCCTTGCTAGTTGGAAGCCAGCCTGAGATACATAGTGAGTTCAAAGCCAGCCTGAACTACATAAGGAGACCTTGTCTCAAAAAAAAATTTTTTTTAAGTACAGGTAAATTAAAAGGAAAATCATCACCAGGCGTGGTGGTGCACACCTGTAACCCCAGTACCTGGGAGGCTGTGGCAGGAGGATCACTGTGACTTCAAGGCCAGCCTGGGCTAAAGCAAGTTCAAGGCCAGCCTACACTACACAGTGAGACCTTGTCTGAAAAAAAAAGGAAAAAAAAAAAATCCCCATAAACTTACAACAGTCATTGTGGAGATGCTTGCATTGCCCTCCTCTGTGTCTGTCTCTGAACTTTAATCATGTAAATTCTAGCAGCTTTACAAAGACACAATTCACATACCGTGCAATTCTCCCATTCCAAGTCTTTCATTCGGTGGCTTTTGCTACCATCCCTGAGTTTTGCGCCCATTAGCACAATCAGTATTAGACCATTTTCATCACTCCAAGAAGAACCCCAGGCCCTTCGGCTGCCCTCCCCCGGCCCCAGGGCACCGCTAACTCCTGCCCCTCCTGAGGGCCTGCCTTGGTGGTGTCAGCGGGGCCCTGCATTGCGACAGTCTCTGTGAGCGGCTTCTTGTGCTCGGCAGTTTTTCTAAGTTTTGCCTCCTGCCTTTCTTTACCTATTATACACCAAAGCATCTCTCCTGGCATTAGATATTCCTTGCCGGTGTCATTTAAACTCTCCCCTAATAGTCTCTGGCGGGGATTTGTCACCATCTGCTAACCCAGTTCCCTGATGTCCGGCAGTTCTGTTCCCCCCGCTACCCCTGAGCCCCGGGCTGGGACTCATCCTTAATTAGGTGACGCTGCTGTCCTGGCTCTGGGTACAGGGAGGCCAGAGATAGGCTTCTGGCTCCAGAACTCACTGACTTCATGACTTAATTAACTTAAACGAAGCCCATTCAGTTCAATTACATTTTGATGGGTCACATTTACTAACCGCACACTGTGGGCCAGGTGCTTCGCCAAGCATTCTACCGTCTTGACATCACTTGAGCAAGGCAGCCTGTGGGGGGGAGGTCCCCGTGAGCCTCCCTTCTCGGATGCAAGTCAGAGGCCCCAGAGGTGAAGGCAGGTGCCCGAGGTCACACGGCTGGCCAGGACCAGAACCTGCGCTTCCCTCTCCAAACTCACGCGCCTGCTAGGGGTCAGAATTCTGCTCTGCTCCCCAAGACCAGGCGCCTGGACAGAGCCCCGGTGCGTCTGAGTCCTTCCAGGGCACTGCAGTTTCGGGACTGATCTCCGGTAAGCAGGGTGCTTTCCTATTCTGCCCGTCTGGCTGGGAAGTGCAGGAGTTGAGCTGGTTTCCTGCCTGAGGGGCGGGGAGCCAGGATTTGAACCCCAGTTTGTCTATTCCAGCACAGGGCCCTCTCCTGTCTCTGCAGCACTTCCTCCAGTGTGTACCTCAGCTGTGGTTCTTACCGTGTCCCATATTGCCTTGGTTTAACGTGTATGAAACTGTTTTGGTGTGTTTCACTCAACTCACTCTTGACTCGTGTCCAAGGACACATAGCAGGAAACACAGAAAGCAAGGAAAGCTCACTGCAAAGAGAAAACCAAAAGAGGTCCGCCCAGGGCTGCTGTGGCCGAGGCCTGGTCTCTTAGGAAGAGTTTTAGGGGGCGGTAGGCAGTTCAGTGGTAGAATGCTTGCTTAGCATGGGCGAGACATGGCTTCCACTCCTAGCACTCCGTTTATAAAAGACAAAAAGATTTAAAAAGTATTTGGCATTAAATGTACGTGGCACCTTGCTAAGACTCTGTGCTTGGCCCAGTAACATGATCAGGGCCATCAAACGCAAGGCCACACCCATCCAAACATCCCGAGGCCCTGGGCCTGCGCCCCTGCCCTGGGAACTGCTGCAGAGCAGTGGGGGCGGGGGAAGGCTATCTCCTAGTCCTGGAAGGACGGGGTGTCACAAATCATGGGCGGATCCCAGGCTGACCTCATCCCAGAGAGGACAGGTGGAGAGGAGAGCCCGCCCTCCTGCTGCCCACACACTGGAGATTTTATAACCTTTTATCCCACCGGGAAGTGCCTCACCTCCTCGGCACCAGGCTTAGAAGGCGAGCATGGATATTTTCAAAAGCCACCGTGCAGCCATCTGCTGCTTTGAAATTAGCAAAGAAGAGCAAACCCTGGGATGGGCAGCTCTGACCATGCTGTTTAATTGCTATTTATTGTCCCTTTAAAATGTCTTCTTGGCCAGGCATGGTGGCGCATGCCTGTAATCCCAGCACTTGGGAGGCTGAGGCAGGAGGATCGTTGTAAGTTTGAGACCAGCCTGGGCTACAAAGTGAGCTCAAGGCCAGCCTGAACTGCATAGCGAGACCCTGTCTCAAAAGGACCAAAATAAAATAAAATAAAATAAAATATCTTCTTTACTTTAAGCCCCTGGGTGGCCTGCATAGGGAAACGTGCAAGTCATGCAGGCAGGCCTCAGACAGAGGTCACCTGCAGGGGCAAGGCCCCGCTTGGTCTAAGGTGACCTGGAAGGTGCAGAGGTCCTCCTGCTCGGGAGCTTTATGCATAGCTCTCCCCACTGCCCACCACGCTCACCCATCCCATCATCACTTCTGCTACACACTGGAATCACAGCTGAGCTTGGCCAAACCACAAGCTCCTGGCCAGTCTAGTGACTGCAGAACCACCAGGGGGAGCTGGATGTGGTGGCGCACGCCTGTAATCCCAGCACTCAGGAGGCTGAGGCAGGAGGATCGCCTCAAGTTTGAGGGCCTCCTGGACTATATAGCAAGACCCTGTTTCAGAAAAACAACAATGCAAAAAAAAAAAAAAGAAGGGGGGGTTCAGCCCCCACGCGATTCTAACGCCAGCCAGGGCCTTCCAAGTTCTTTCTCTGTGAGATCCGGCATCCTTGCTCCCCTTCGGGGGCGCCCTGCAGTTTGGACACAAATTCCACGTAGGCAAATCTGCACGGTCCCCTCCACCTGCCGATGCACAGGCTCCAGGGGGGCGGGGAGTGGGTCAGCCTGGCTCGGAGGATACTCGTGAAGCTCTTAGATATTGGGAACGAAAGAATGAGTGAAGGAAGGAAGGAAGGAAGACTGGGTGAGTGGGTGAACTGCGAAGCAAGATCCCTATGAGCGCACAGGGTGTCCTCTAGCCCTTGGTGTGTGCCTCACGTGAGCAGCACTTTCCAGGCCCCTCTCATGTGAGCGGCTGGCTCAGGTCAGAGGAAGGCGGGGAGGGGCCTCCGGACACCCCGGCCTGGGAGTGGGGGGCAGCGGAGTCTCGGGCCAGGCTCCACAGCGGGAGATGCATAGGCGAGCACGTGGCACGTGCAGACGCAGGGCTCTCGCAGGCGTGCTCTGTGCACCGTCAGCCCCACCAGAGAGCCCGCCAGGCCGTCACGGGAGGGGCGCGGTGCACCTAGAAGCAGTGGCTTCGGCTCCTAGCTCAAGAGATGTGGGCTTGGGCAACTGCAAATGCAAAACTGGAGGCCTGATGTAGCAAGAGGAGCCGCCGTCCGTACAGTGTGCCGTGCGCCGGGCCCGGGTGAAATGCCTGCTCCGTCTCCTCCTCTACGGGGTGAGATGGTCACAGGGACCAGGCCCTGCCCACCCCCACGCCCTGGATGCTTGGGGTTCCAGGCCTGCTCCGCGCCTGCCTCTGTCCCCCAACAGCCGGCTGTGCCTTCGGGGTGCAGTGGGCCTGGTGTGCTAGAGGCAGGTCCATCAGTTAGGGACGTGGCCTGGGATGCGAAAGGAGGGAGCAGGACCCAGAGGGTGGCTCACGGTGCCCCCGCGTCCACCTCTGAGCTCCCCGGGTCCTAGACTTCCCGACCAGCCTCCTCCCTCCATCCAGACCAACCTGCTGCGAGCTGGGACATTCTTCCTGCTCACCCTGGAGATGTGGCCGGGGCAGCTGAGGAGCTGACATTTTAATGTTACTTAAATTAATTAATTGTAAACACAGCGTGGTGACTGCAGGTCCCTAATCCCAGCACTCTGGGAAGCCAAGGCCAGGAGGATTGCAAGTTGGAGGCCAGCCTAGGTAACTTAGTGAGACCCCGACTCAAGAAATGAAAAAACTGACAAGAGGAAAAGATGCAGCTCAGTCCTTGGGTCCAATGCCCAGTTCCACTGAAAAAGTAAATTAGTTGATTAATTAACACGTGGCCAGTGGTGCTGCAGCATTAGGAAGATCGATGTGTCCAGGTAGAAGAGAGAAGGCATCTTCTCCATCTGCACGACGTATTTGTACATCAGGCCAGTGGCCTCTCTTGCTCTCCTGCCCGGGTCCTGCACGTTGTAGGAGTTGCTCAGTGCTTTGCTAAGTCACAGCACTACCTGCTGAGCTATTTCTACCCCCGTGTCTGCAGATGAGAGAGAAAGTAACTCTTCGGGAGTTGAACACGTGGCTGTCTGTCTCCAAGTTCCTAACACAGTGTGTCTGGCCCTGAGCCAAGGCTTTTCACAAGTGTAATTTAACTTAATCCTGACGCTAACCCTCGGGTCAGGTCGCAACAACCTCGCTGTCCTGTACACCCCCATTTCACAGGTGGGGGAGCAGGCGCCGTCAAGGGTCGGCTCAAGGTCACATAGGGAGCTGTAAAGTCAGGTTTCACCCTGAAGCCGTGATGTGGGGCTGGAGAGGTTACTGAGACTGCTGCTCCCCGAGAGATCCCCAGGGATCAAGGCGGGGTCTTCGAGCAAGCCTGCGGGGTTTTCTTGAGCTGTGGCTGGAAGCGATTTCCTTCCAAAGCTGGGCCGAAAGCAGCCAAGTCATGTTCAGCTACTGCTGTGTGTGGAAAAATTCAGTTTATCCCTCAACCAGTCTGACCAGTTTCAGGCTGGAGTTCTAAGAGCGACTCCCCGAGAGTCGAGGCTGAGACATGCCCAGGGGCCTGTCGCTGTCACGTGCCCGGCTGGCGAGCTGCACACGTGTTTCTGTTTATCAGACACCAAGGATGTGTGGGGCGCCCGGCTCCATGGTTCACCCACCTCAACTCATGTAGTTCTTACAGTTGGCCCACAAAGCGGGCAGCTTGCCCCTCGGCAGTGGAAAGATAGAAGGAAACGCCCACTGAGTTATTCATTTATAAAGTCCCACAGTTACTTCCTGGGGGCACTGACTGTACCACGCACGGAACAAAATCCAGTCCCTGCCTGCACGAGGAAGACAAGCATGACAGAAAGAGATAATTACAGTTTGGGACAAATGCCTTGGAGACACTGCACATTCAGATTGAGTTGCAGGGGAGGGAATGTTTAAGCAGAGACCCACAGCGTGGGACTGGCCCAGCCACAGGGCCTTTGCACTTGCTCTGCCTTCTCGCCACAATGCTCTTAGGGGCAGAGGACTCCTAGTACAAAGGCCAAGACTTAGGCTCTGTTTCTCTCAGGTGACTTTGGGCCAGTTGCTTTTCTTCTCTGAGCTTGTTTGCTCTTCCATAAACTGAAGGATTAAACTACACAAATCTCTAAGGACCCCTGCAGTTCTACCACCAAGAAGCAATAAACTTCCCTTTCTTCTCAGTCAGAAAAATATCTGCTATCATTCAAGGAGGTTGCTTTTAATCGTAAAAGCCATTTTGGAAAATTTGGTACGAAGAGAAGTTTAAATGAGAAGTCAGCCACAACAAAGATCTATGGACTTGTTCCTTGGTGCTTTCGGGCGTGCCTGCCAGTAGCAGCAGCAGCGTAATAAGAGGAATTATCATCATAATGGTAATAAGAATAAACACACAGCAGCACCTCCTCAGCTACAATTTTTTGCTTTCCGCAGTTCAGTTACCTATGATCAATTGTGGTCCAAAAATATTAAATGAGAAACACCGAAAACACCGACACAGACAACGTATAACTTTTACACTGCACGCTATTCTGAGTAGCAGGATCAAATTTCAAGCCATCCTGCTTTGTCCTTCCCAGGGTGCATTCAGTGTATCCAAACTGTATGTACTACCTGCCCATTAGTCATCCAGGAGCTGTTCTAATTATCAGATGGTCTGTGGCCATATCAAGTACATATATGTATATATAGGGTTCCATATCGTCTGCAGTTCGGGAATCCACTGAATGTATCCCCTGAGGATAAGGGGAGACAACAACTGTATAAGAACAAAGATACCATCCTCAGCAAAATCAGCTACCAATATCCAGCACTCCCCGTTAGCCAGAGACTCTTGCAAACCATTTGTGAGGATGATCTCATTTACCCTTCACAGTAATTCCAAGGTGCATATGCTGTTCTAGTCCTCATCATGTACACAAGGGACCTCAGTGACAGCAAGGCCAATTAACTTGCTCAAGTCTGTCCCATGGTGAATATGTGGGGAAATGTAGACTAATAGGTACTCAATAAATACTTGTCCTGGATCATAATGAAGATTCTTGTCCTGGATCATAATGAAGAGAGTCAGGTACTGTGCAGAACAAAGTCGAATTGCACCTTAGGACCAAGAGGTATCCTTGAAAGTTGTTTTTTCCTTCAGTATTTTTATCAGGTTTGTTTGCATATCAGCGGTGACACATTTTTCACAGGAGAAAATACTGGAAGTGTAGAAAAATAAATGAAAGTCGTCACAGCCCTATGATATTGTTAATAGATGGTATATTTCTCCCACTGGCTTTTTTTTTTTTTTTTTTTTTTTTTTTTTTTT